GCAGATATACCAACAGATTCAGACCTGTGCTAATGAAGTCTACAGTCTCTCAGGGGAAGCAATTTGTCATAGAAAGAGAATGTCTCTGTGGGCTAGAGCCCCCAAGATTCTGCTATAACTATAATTTATTTATTTGGTACCAGGGATCAAACTCAGGACCTTGTACTTGTTTGGCAGGAGTGGTGCCACTGAGCTAAATCCCTCAGGCCCAGCTATGATCTTTTATCAGAAGAAAAGACAGGTTGCCAATATGTAGGTAACAAAAATAAAAAACAAATAACTGCATGTACTTTAATTCCTTAATGTATTTAATCATTCTGACTTGCTTTTTTTTCAGCTTTAATTGAGTTTATTGGTACATTTTAGGGATATAGTACAGTTACATTCATTGTTGGGATCTTGTACCTCTACATGACAAGTCTTGATGCTCATTTTTTCCCCTTACCCCTGCCCTCCCTTCACCCCCTCCTCCCTTCCCCATCTACAAACACTTTATTTTCATCTTTTCATTATCTCACATTTTTTTCTTGAAAATCACTCTCTTTCATTTTCCTATCCAGAGACTACATATCTAGTTCAGTTTATTCTAAGTAAAGAGAATTGTTATATTCTCTCTGGCTAATTGCTTCCTCACTGCTAATAACTGCTTCCGAACTGATCGCATAAATGAATTCTATACGTAACACTGAAAGTTCAAAACATCACTATAACTACAAAAGGAAAAGCTGTATTTCTTTAGCTAAAGATTCTCCTTGAAATTTGAGAGCGGTTCTTGTTGAATTTGCACATATGAATTCCTAAACACAGCTGGCAACGCTGGCGGGTGGACTCACACATTCCTCAGTCAGGAGTGAGAGGATGGCAAAGTGTTCACCACGGTATCACCTGAAGGAGCGCAGGTACACACTGCAGGCCAAGTACTACTTACCACAGAAGAATCATAACAAAGAAAGTGCCTGGTGTTCACTGGTATCACTACACAGAACAGAAACCGAGGTCAGGTAACCTCAGCACCATCACCCTGTAAGGACCCAGCCAGGACACAAGCCCAGACCAGTAAGATGCTTAATTAAACACCTATTGCCACTCAGAGTGCATTTAAAGGCTCTCTCAGCACATGGATGTGAGGCAAACATAAAGCTGACCTTACCTGCACTAACTACAAGTTTCATTCCAGCACCTGTGACAATCAAGCATCTAGCCAGCACCATCCCCTTGGGAGTACCTGTTTGCCCAGTACCACTGCATGAATAGAGTAATGATTGCCTTCGGGCACTTAAGTAATTTTCTCCTAGACAACAGTTCCTAAACTGATCTCCTGGGGTATAGCAAAATGTGACCTGGAGCATGGTCCTGCATTAAATGCCAAAGTCAACAATCACCAGGGAAGCAGATGTTCATCCCACAAGTGTTCAGAGCATATCCTGCAGGATAGCTGTGAGGTGGAAGGCTAAGAGTGTTCTATGCTTTTTATAGGGTACTGAGGCAAAGAACCACAAAGACAGACACTAAAACTGAGCCAGATTGTGTCACTGAAGGTTTAAGGACCACATCTGCTAGGTGCTTTTTTATAATTTTTTTTTAAAGTACAGGGGATTGAAGCCAGGGCCTTCACAGTGAGCCACATACTCAGCCCTTAGCCCTTTATTTAATTTTTTTTTTTTTTTTTAAAGACAGGCTCTCACCAAGTGGCCCACACTGGGCTTGAACTTAAAACTTCCTCAAACTTGCTAATGGGCAGACTGTGAACAAATCCCCTGAAAGAAGAAAACCCTACTTTTATAATATTTCACAAACTACTGTAGAAAATAATATTTTACCTAATAAATTAGAAACTACTTCTTTTGAAGGATCTCCTACAGAAGCACTAACTGATGGAAATACCATTGTGAGACCCATATATTATTTAAAAATCTTCGTAGCAACACTTAAAAAGTTAAAACAAAGCCAGGTGTGGTAGCACATGCTTATAATTCTATCTACTCAGAAGGCTAAGGCAGTAAGTCAAAGTTTGAGTTCAGTCTGGGTAATTTAGCAAGACTCTGGCAAAATATAATTTTATAAGGGCTGAGGATATAGCTTAATGGTTAGAGCAGTTGCCTAGTATGAGGAAGGCCCTAGGTTCAACCCCAAATACCACAAAAAGGGCAAAAATAAATTAATTTTAATGTATCTTATCTAATTCAAAATATCTAAAATAACTTTGACATATAATCCATACAAAATATAGGCATTTACATTCTTTTTTTTCCCCCTAATACTAACTCTTTAAGACCAACTGTGTACCTGGCATTTATAACACATCTTAATCCAGGTACAATATTTTCATTGGAAATAATTCATCTGGCTTAAACACAGTACAATTTACAGTTAAAAAAGTACATCTGCATGCCCATATTGTTCCAAATATACTTATAAATTTTCCAATAAATTAACTGTCAGTTTTACATTTTTAATTAAATAAAAATTCAGTGCATCAGCAGCCCTCACCATCTTCCCAGTGCTCCACGTGGGAAAGAGATAGAGCATCTCGCTGCTCACTGGGTCAGGTCAGGTAAGAATCTCCATGGGAGAGACCTGTCCCTTCACTCAGGAGGAAAACCCACCAACTCCTAAGGAACAACCCCCACTAGCAGGGCCACCCACATTCTACTCAGATTATCTTTGTTGTTTCAAATTAATTTTGCATAAGAGGCAGCTCAACAAGGCAAAGTTGGAACCATGGATATGACTCTAATCTTCAGTTTCCTTTCTTGTGTCCTGATGAATTTAAGAGAGTACTTACTGAACAAGTCACCAGGTGTTAGCTTCCCATTCCCCACTTTACATACAGTCATCCCCACAACTCTCCTAGTAACCTGTGAGACACGTAAGAGCCAGAAAGCCTGTCAATAACAAGCTCAAAGTCACACCCCTAATTATAAGGGGTAGAGCTGGGACTCAAGCCCAGAAAGTCTAAAGAGATTAAAAGCCTATAAGTAGAAGTCCACTTACAACAAAATTCCTGTTTTTCAAAGCCTTCCCACAATCTCTCAGAGCAGGCAGGCAGAAGAGAGCTGATATTGCCTTGGCCCTTTGCCAATTAGACTCTGATAAAAGGTTTGCCCAGAAGCTCTGCAAGAGACTCCCAGTGCAATTCTCCTGACTTTACATCTAGTGATCCTCGAATGATAACAAACATCAGAGAGGAGGGCAAAGGTACTTGTTTATTGTCTCCATACACACCTGCCCCCTTTTACCTTGGTCAGGCTTACAAACTACTTGAGAAGGAATAGATTCTCTACAAATAAAGAGATGGAGTTCCACGGTGTACAGAAACTTGCCTTAAATCACAGATCTCAGGTGGGATCCCAGACCATGAATGTCCAACAGAGGGGCCATCTCCTGAGGACCTGCCTAATATCAATGTTCGCTCAAAATGCAATCACTATGCTCAAGAAAAACCTTCTACCATATGGATACAAGGTATGTAACAGCTGTTTTTTTGTTTCCAATATTTGGGATTGAACTCTAGGCCTTCCACAGCCATTTTTTATTTTTTATTTTGAGATAGAATCTTGCTACGTCACTCTGGCTGGGCTCAAACTTATGGTCCTCCTGCCACAGCTTCCCAGAGTGTAGGGTCCTGTTTCAAACACTCAAGTAGAAAGTTTTTTTTAGTGGAAATTTACACCCCCTCACAGCACAGATGCATGTCTGCTGAATCTTCACTCATGGACCGGTATTAGCAAAGCCTACCTTATTTCGAACCCCATGTTGCCTGGCCAAGAGGCAACTGAAATTCTGGATCTGCACAATGCACAGTAGAGTGCTGCTATAAGCCAAATTTAAGCAGGTTTCAGAATACTATTTGCAGAAATATCACATGTGAATCTCAAGTGGCTCAACTGGTTAGCACATGGTACTTATACAGAAATATCACATGTAATAAAGACTCACATTCTAACCTAAACAGCACTAGTTGATAGAATAACACTTAAAAACTTAATGACTTAAGAACACTTGAGAAAGTAACTCAAAATGTAACATGAAAGCAATTTTCCTTTGCCCTAAACCTGTAACCCCAAAAGATTACTTTCCGACAGACCAGATGGTGTCTGTACAATGCTCTATATACATCTCTGGTACATGGCAGATCTTCCCCAACAAGCAATCAGTTGATATAGAACCATACCATACCCTAGCTCCTTGGTCTGAGCTCATCCCTGTGTTTACAACAAGGGCCTGGAGGACCTGGCCAAACAGGCCTCTCCTTTGGAGAAGCAGAGCTGGATCAGTCTTTAGGGACAATTATAGTACTTAACTGCCCACAAGCCTTGATTGGCTTGAATGCATACTGTAGGTGATTACTCAGCCTCTATTACTAATGTTTTCCAAAAGTGACCGTTATAAATTAAAATCTAATCAGACATCATAAATCAAGTGGTAGTCAACTATTTCTAACTCTTATTTGGCAATCCTTCCTTCTGCATGGGCTATCATCAAGAATTAAAACTGGGTAATTTGAATTGGCCATTTCTACTTCCTCCTTCTGAGAGAAATGATAACAAATTATGAATTGGCCCACAAAGAAGCTCATAGGGAAAGATAACTTCAAGTCTGTTGTGCCCACTATACAGAGCTCTGAAGCTTGTTTATGAATGTGAATAGAAAAAAGGACTGAAGTACAGAAGCAACACCATTAACTCCAACACCATATACAAAGCTTCACTGAATCCTTTATAACACTGATGCATGCTCATCCAAGAAGTGTCTCCAGCTTTAAAAATAATAAGTGCCAGGCTGGGGATTCAGCTCAGTGGTCCTGCTACCTGCCTTGCAAGTGCAAGGTCCTGAGTTTTATCCCTGGCACCCAAACAAACAAACAAACAAAAATCAAGTGCCTACCATATAGCTTCCAAAAGTTTGAAATGCTGTGCCTTTTTCAAGAAGTTGCCACCCACATGGGAGTTGTCTCCAAACAACCCCGACAATAAGGCCGTCTGATTTCACTTACTTACCTACTTCTACCTGTAGGGATCCTGGGAAATCTCACTAAACAACTTCAGAAAACTCTACCTGGAGAAGCAAATTGAACAAAAGTTTAGTTAAATAAAAAAAAGGCAACTTAGCATGTAATTTCATGTCTTATTAAAATACGTTTCTTCAAATATTGGTCCCCAGGCCAATAGATCACCTTGCACAACCACTATTTCCCGAGTATACTGATACAAGGTCCAAACTACTGATTAACTGAGAGAAAGAGAGACAGAGACAGATAGACAGACACACAGACAGGCAGAAAAGCAGACACACACACACACACACACACACACACACACACACCAGGGAATGTGGAGCCCATGATATACCTTAATTACATCTTCTCCTTTCCTCAAGAGGATCAATTTAAAAATGTGTCCATAACAGCATGTTAAGAATGCCCATAAAAAACATAATGCAGGAATAAATTAAGGAATTAAGTATGAAATTATGAATAGGTAAACTATCCTAGCAGCATTTTTTATCTTTTCAGTTAGTCTATCTTATTTATTTATTTGGTACCCGGGATCGAACTTGGGACCTTGCACTTTCAAGGCAGGCAGTAGAACCACTGAGCTAAATCCCTGGCCCTGTTATCTTATTTTAAAGCTTACAAAGATATCAAAGACCGAAGAAATGGGAAAATGGCCACTAAGACTGCAACAGTAAAAGGTAGAGAATAATTTATTTAATGATTTGTTTATTCAAAACTTAAGTACACCTTTTGGTGGTTTCAAAGTCCTTTAGGTAACCTTCAGAAAATGATATGCCTATTATTACATTCATAAAACAGAGAATCCAATAATATCTGCCCAGCATAGCTTTGAAATATTACATGTAAATGGAACAAATTTTGAGTATAAAATATCATAGTTACCATTTACTGAAAAATATGCTGGGCAAAAAACTCAAAACAATCAGCCCCCCCAAATATAAAGACCCAATTCAAAAATGTGCATCTGAAATGAACAGATATTTCTCAGACAAAGAAATAAAAGCAGCAAGTAAATATATGAAAAAATGTTCCACATCACTGGTCATTCGAGAGATGCAAATGAAAACAACACTGAGATTCCACCTCACCCCACAAAGAATGGCTGCTATCAAGAAATCACACAATAACAAATGTTGGCGGGGTTGTGGGGAGAAAGGAACCCTTCTACCACTGTTGGTGGGAGTGCAAACTGGTGCAACCACTATGGAAATCAATATGGAGATACCTCAAAGAGCTGGGACTAGAGGTTCCATTTGACCCAGCCATCCCTCTGCTGGCTATCTTTCCAAGAGAACTAAAAGAATCATATCACAATGATATATGCACACCTATGTTTATAGTGGCACAGTTTGTAATAGCTAAAACTTGGAAACAGCCCATTTGCCCATCCATTGGAAACTGTATAAAGAAGATGTGGTTTTTCTATAAAATGGAATACTACTCAGCCATAAAGAATGAGAAATTAGATTCATTCATAGGAAAATGGATACATTTTGAGGATATACTCCTAAGTGAAATAAATAAGTCACACATGTGTAAATACCAAATAGTTTATCTGGTGTGAAAAACTATAATAGTACACAAGATCCTAATGAGATAATTGAGAATGTGAAATAGGAAGAAAAGGGCTAAAGGTGTAGGGAAAGTGGGACAGGCCGGGGAAAGGGAATAAGGGAAAAGAAAAAAATATGAGAAAACGAAAAAATGGAAATAAAGTGTTTGTAAATGGGGAGGGGAGGAGGGGTGTAGGGAGGGCAGGGACAAGGGGAAAAATGAGAACCAAGACCTGTCGTGTAAAGGTACAAGATCCCAGTAATGAATGTAACTGTACTGTATAACTAAAATGTACAAATAAACTCAATAAAAGAACAAAAAATCAATAAAAATAAAATTATAACTTTTAAAAAAATACCATAGAAGTAAATAAATATGTTCAATTACACATAAAGTGGATCAAACAGAAAACATTAACAATCTCAATTAGTGCAGATAAACAGGAAAATAGGAAAAAGTCTACATGCCTCTTTTCCATGTTGAACTTTCTAGTTGGGACTGACAATGAAAATTTGTAACAGAGAGTTACAAGTAACCACACTTATAGCTAAGTTAGTAGTTTAATATCCAAGCAGTCTGAAAATCTAGGTGGCTCAAAAGCTCCTTTGTCTAAAGAACTCATTCTAGCTTAGAGATAAATATGAAGATACTGTACAACAGTAATCACTTTCACATTATAAAAAGCAAGTATCTAAAAAAAAAATGCCAAACTCATAAAGTCCTGTTAAGATAGCCTAGGGAAGCTATGATTTTTTTTTTTTTTGAGACAGGGTCTCACTATGTAGTTGAGAATGACCTGGAACCCACTATGTAGCCCAGGTTGGTCTCGAACTCACAGCGATCCTCCTACCTCAGCCTCCCGAGTGCTGGGATTACAGGCATGTGCCACCACGCCCAGCTATAATTTTTTTCTTAAATGATTATGTGTAAATTAACAGCCACCTGAATTCTAAGCATTCCCTACAAATTTACCTCTTTAGGTGAAGTCATGGGAAATCATTATCAGTATTTTTATCTGGATATGCCTTCTGTAAAATGAACCATTAAGGTTATTATGAATGGAACTGTTATAAATAGAGTTTCTGTTTAAATTTCATTCATTACTCCTCAGAGCTATATGAGTCACAGAATCAAAAGTAACATTTAAATGTTTTTCTTTTTTTACATACAATAAAAACAAAACTTAGGACAAGGACAGATCTCAAAACTCTAACAAGAATAAGAGGTCTGAGTGGTATACTGACTCCTACCTACAGCTTCTGAGCTCACATGGATGGTAAAAAGCATTCCCTAGAATAAATAAATATGACACAAAGCTCTGAGGGAAAAAAGAAATTTAGGAGTAAGTTTTTGGTATGGTGATAACGCCTTTTTTTTTTCCTTGACAAAGCAACCATCAAAATGATCAGAAAGATTAAATAAGCTAATTCTTTTACCGGGTTTGGTTGGCAAATGGGGTGTTAGTTTCATTCTTTAAAAGGATATGCTATTTCCAAAAAATACTTAAAATATAGTCAGTTATACAGCCTTCAAAAGCTCACAAAAGAGAGAGTTAATGTATTAAGTATTAACTATCAGGCACTGTTCTATATACTTGGCAGGAATTAGCTCATTTATTTACTTCTCACAAAAGCCCTAAGAAGATACTAGTATTATCCCCATCTTAAAGATGAGGAAGCAGGTAGATGTTTAAAGAACTTTCCAAGAGTTACATGACTCACAAAAACAGTGCTGAGATTCAAATCCACATATATTATCACAGTTGATTATAAAAACTGTAAATGAAGGTAGAGAGAATTTCAATCTCATTTTAAATGTGAGGAAAAGTGCCGTCCATTCTAAGGAGTACAGACTGTCTCAAAGTTACACTGCTAGTCACTACCAAAGGTCAAGAACAGAACCCATGGCATCCAACTTGGTCATCACTGAGATGACTCTTCAAGATCCTCCCATGGGCTGCAGCAACTACAAGCACATCAAGTATAGCCCAGACCAAGGCATTAGTGCACTGCTGCATTGCCATTTTTCCATGTCTTTTCATTTCACGGTTGTTAAATGCATAGATTCATATACTTATCTTCATTACTTATCATTTTTTTACCTTCATTTTTGTGTATTAGCCTGCATGGTCATTTAAATTTTTATAGCCCAATAAATGCAGGCATTGTCTACTCCAGCAAGGATTCTAAATACAATTGAAACCACTGTGTTTTTGCACATTAAGGAATTAAAAAGTTTTTACTACCCATTCATCTCCATTTGGGTTACATGCCACCCCGCCTTCCACTTCCCCAGACTGGGAAACAATAGCTGCCTTTTGTGCCCAATAGTGGTGCCCACGTAATGGCACCAGCACTTACTCACTGAATTGAACTGCAGAAAACATGAAAAAAAAAAAAAAGAGTTGTTAAGACTCCTTTCTCAGTTACAAATTTCTCAGAACAAAAAAGCCCAGTTACGATCATTTTTTATTATTCTGTAAAACTAGAACCAAGGAGTGAAAAGCTACACGGATAGAATTCAGTTTAATTTTTTTTAAAGCTTTGTAATAAACTGAGTTGCCCCACCACAGTCCAGGTTCCTCTGGTGGACTAAGCCGCAGCTGCTCCTGACTACAGAAGGGCAAACTCTCGGGAACTATCTTGCAACACAAAGAGTGCTTTCCTGGAATCTAAAATGGCTCACTATGTCCATCCAAGGCATTTCCCAATTCATTTGTCTCATCTGATCTACATTCTGAGCAAAAGTGGCTGGGGTGTGGTGGAGACAGACATCATTTAATAATCTCAATTTTCAGCCTCGGAATTTGAGCAACTTAAGCTGAATCACATGATTAGTAAATACAAGAAGCTAGACCTCATTCTAGGACTTCTGACTCCCATGGCATTTCCAGCTAGGCAATTCTGCAACAACTAAAACATGATGCTTTTGACCATTATACCTATCATCATGGGCAGGGGAGAGGATGGGCCCCAAAGATGTGAAGTATGGAAGTGAATATCAAAGGAGATTAGTTAAGGACAAAACCTCCTGAGAGTTATACTGTTCTCACAAGCCTCCTTTTCTACCTCATGAAGGTTTCATTATTGTTTCAGTAGGAACATTCATTCTCTAATGCTCTGTTTGCATGAGTCAACTGAAGAAATAATTATCCAAATTCTACTTTATTGTGCCTGGTTGATACAACAAATGCTTAGGGAAGTGTGCCCATACTTTAAAGGCAGTCAACGGCAACATAATAAACATGAGTAATGCCCTATTTCCATATCCAAAGTATGAATTGTGGCTCAAAGACTAAGCTGGTAGTTATTAAAGGAAAAAAAAAAGGTCACTGGAATGTATTCTCTCACAAAATAGCCAGTACAGTCTCACACTTGTGTCTGACAACAGGAGTTTAACAGAAATAGGTCAATCATTGAAAGACTGCTGAAACCTGTAAGCTTTTCAAGGAAAGACACGAAAGTATCAAATTTCATGAACCTGTCTA